CAATGCAAGTTAAGTGGATTGCTCTATAGGGAACGTAATATTTTCCCGATGGGTTTGACACGAATCGTTTGTGACAAAATTAGCGTTTCTTGAATACAAATATCACTCCATTCTCATTTCACGTGACGTATAATTGCACCGTAAATCATTCATAAATTCTTAAATTATTCAATTAGTTGTTGCCTGCTGATCATCTGAATAACCTGGTGAACCGTAATCGGTTCCTAAATTCAGGAACAAACGGATTATTATATCCATGATCTACAGCCTGGACCGTCCCTACACTTCGTGGTGCTTGGGGCAAATATTTTTTTTCGGAGCAATTTAACAAAATTATTTGCTTCCCTCCCCTATCCACCAATGCCATTGTTATTCCTCCATCTTGATTGACGATCAATTTATAAACTTAAAATATATTTTATCCCTTCAAAGTTTAATTAGTTCATTTTTATCAAAGCACCTGCTAAAAATATGTACGAGTACCTACAAATTCATACATTTAAAGTAAATAACTGGAACAATAAAATTACAAAATTAAAAATACTTTTATAAACTTCTAAAAAATATATACATATAAAATATAATAATTATATCCATTATAACATTTAAGAACATATTATATTATTACATCATAACTTCTCGTGATTTATTTTCAGCAAAAAAATCCATAATGTCATTATATTCAATACTATTAGCAATTTCTTTTTTGATTGCTATGATAGCCAAGTTTGTAGTTTTTTCTTTTGATAAATTACTACAAATTCCGTCTTAAGGGTCCTCGACCAATAGAGGCTCCGAAAAGTATAATTTATAATTTACATCTTTACGTTATAAAATATTGGTGCAACCATTTCCAACTAAATATTTGACCCTTAGAATTTAATAAAAAGTTATAATTTAAAAATAATATTAAATAATATTCAATCTAAAATTTAAGCACTTTAAATATGAAGATTACTTCTTCATTGATAAATTTGATTAACAACAAGTTATTGATGTACAGAGACAGGTGACTAAAAAATTATTTATTATTATATTTTCATGATAAAATAATATAATTAACAAAGTGGAAAGTCTAAAAATATCGTTTTCAATTCCAAAGCTTGTTATGATTTGGAAATAGAAGGTAATGTCAAATCATAATCGTACTTTTATTTCTAAAAGGGCCCCTAGGCTCTGTGTGTAAAAGGGTTCCTACATATCCAAAGGCGGGTCTGATTAATTGAAAAATTGTTTTTATTAATTTTGAAAACGGTTATTCATCTGTTGCTGTAGTCACAGGAATAGTTAATAATATTCTATTTTCTACAGAAATATTACAATATATGTCATCACCACTATATCGGAGAATTTGTTTACAACCTCTAGAAGTGGAGTGCCTTTGATATAATTTATATATTAATAATTTCTGATAAAATTACTAACTCCTCGTATGGTTTTCCATTAATATCTTTTGTTTCACTTACTTGTAATAATATTTGAAGATCTATACAATACTTTATCAAATTTTCTTTATTCGTTTCAGAAATACTTCAAATAATAAATAAAATGCTAAAATAATCATAAAACTATTTCAATTTTTTAAATTATCTACATAAAGAAGAAACTCCTTGGTGAAAAAGTGGAAAAAAATACTCATTTTTAAAATTATCTTCACTCATACAATTTAAAAGTGTACTAGAACTTTCATAATCAAACAATTTTTTTTTTTTAACAATTGTTTTGCTCGTAAGCTTTGTTGATCGGAAACAATTTATCATTTGAAAATTATTCATAAAGACGCAGGGCATTTAGAGTTGTGCACGAGGTCCAAGGCAGGGGCTTCGTTCGCTCTACTCCAGGAACGGCCCTGTCTTCAGTGGGGCTCATGCAGTTCGAAGGAATAACAGTTCGATATTATAGCGTCGTGTTTAGTGGGTTAATTCCGGGGTTGTAATACACCGAGGCATCGGATACAGGTATTAGATATTCTTGATGGGATACAATAATATATTAATAATACGTATAAAGAACATTTTATAATCAAGTATTGAACAATACAACTAGAGAAATTATGCAAATGTTAAATAAAACTGCAACAACAATCGTTTATTGGATATTGATTTATTTTTAACTCGTCCGTAGTATTATTGTTATTTCGACGAATCGCGTCAACAAGAAACAGACGAAAGATTTGACTGTTAATCTTTTCCGGATCAGTGTAGTTGCACCTCTGGCCTCGCGAAGATTTATATCCGGCACTGGTATTGCCGGTAACCGTTTCTCGTTCGATCGTAAGACATCGTCGCGGCACTGCGGTTAGGTTGGGCTAATCCGGTGCACCAGACGGAAAACGAACAGTCCAAAAACGCTGTCGGCATTGCGAATTCACGACGTTATTACCGGCGATCGATCGGGTCCAAAGGATTAGGAATCGTTCGATCGTTCGAGCATTACGTAACGCGATGCAGGGAGTGTAACGTTTCTGTGGTCGAACGTACTTTAGAACACGTATGCTGCGAGTCAATTTCGAATCGCAACACGGCGTCCGCGCGCCCGAAAAACGAAAACGTGGACCTAATGACCTATATTTTTCGGTATCCGTACGCCACCTTTTCATCCCTTTTCTCGTGACAATAGGCACACGTTGAGTTCTCGTTGTGTAATACGTTTTTTGTGCCGCGGCGGTTCTTGGGTATTTTATAATTTTTTTTTTCTTTCGTTTTCCTCCCCGTCACACTTGCGATTCGTCTGTTTGTCGTACATTTATTGTAGCTCGCAAACATTGTCGTTCGTTTTGCCCACGGGCACGAAACTATACAGCGATTTTAATCGACTCATTAGGGTCTCGACTAGCGGGACGAGCTTAGCCTCCTGGAAATTTTCATAGCCATCCCTGATTAAAAGTATTGAATTTCAAAGCTTTGTGTTAAAATCTAATCATCTAAGTTTATCATCTCAATATTCGAAATACTAATTGAGTTTGGCGATTCTTGTTGTTCGGTGTATTACGAATTTTGCTTTGCTTAGGAATATCCTAAATCATAATTTGGTTTACAGTATCGGGCTTTTCAATCGCCTTATCTTCGTCTTCTTGGTAAAATTTCAATTGAACCAATAATATTGACACATATCGTCTGTGTGTATAATAATAGATGGGAGCGTGGGGTATAGCCTCTGCAGGTTCTTTTTATCTCGGTACTTATAGTTCCCCCAAAATGTAAGCTCTAGCTGCGCCTATGCTAAGGCCTACGGCTATATGCACAGCGCTGCAGACCCGTGCTGCTTATCCGTGCCGGATATTTATATATAGTTTTACACGTGCCGTGTATATTATGTTACAAACGACTTGTTCGATTTTTAATCCACAGCCGATACAGTACAACCTTCACTCGAGGCGCAATACTCGAAAATACAATGTTATCCAGTGGTTAAAGTGGTGAAAATGTCAAGAAGGAATTATAGTCACCAAAAATGGTAAAGGAACATTCCTTTACCAAAGTCTAAATCCTAACAAACTCTTTTAGGTAGTCCATAAGACAAGACCTCTAAAATTATTTTCTTTTTCACAAATTTGTTTATAAAACGTTTTATAGGGCGTAAAAACTAAAAATAAAAGTTTCCTCCCCAAAAAAAACCTATCATCAACATATTATGCCAAGTCAGTAAAACATAATTGTAATATATGGCTTAAAGTGTTTATAAAAATAAATTAAAATTTTTAATTTGATTTAGTCTAAAATATTTCATTGGAAATACAAACAAAACAAATTTGTATTAAAAATCACATGTTAGGAAATAAAATAATACAACAACTCACAAGCTTAACTTTTAATTATTTATTATTTATATGTATAGAAAACAGTCTTAACATTAATAACTGTAACAAAATTAAAAATTAACATTCGCTAACCTTGCTAACCTTGCCAACCTACAGTTATTGGTCAATAAAACAGTAACAAATATGCACATTTGTAATGTTTATGTATTATCAACAACTAAATGAATATACGAGTATTATTTTTATGCAACTGAAGAATAACTTTTATTCCTATATTTATTATAGTTATTTATTTGATTTTGTAGAAAAAATATTTATTTTACATAATTCAACATATTTTGAGGATAGAGAATATATACTATTTTTTATATTTTAAAATATGTGTAATATCTGTAGAAAAGATTATATTTTTCAATTCATAAATTCCTAAATATCACAGGAAAAAAAATAATATGAAAAAGGATTAAAATAAAACAAAAATCATTATTTTATTATTTAACAATATGATCAATAGACATACATTTGTTATTTTATTAATTTTTTTTTTTTTTTAATTTTATATATGAAAAAACTTTATGTAAATTATCTTGAATTTTGTACTGGATACAATTTTTTTTTTTGTTACATAAGATATGCGATACCTATTTTGAGTAAATAGTTTATAAGTGCAAGAAATAGTTAATACAACTACTAACATTATAAATCAAAATATATAGATTGTTTTTATAATACTATACATAATTAAATAATTAGCATACTTAAGAATATTAATATTTAGGATATATTTTGAGGTTTTTTTAGGTATACTATTTAAAATTGCAAGATAATAATGATGATTTTTAAACACTTTTATAATGAAATAAATACATCGCTTTTAATTTTTATATGATATGCATACATACAATGCAATGAATAGTTAATTTAATATGTACAGGAAACACAATGTAATAACCCGAGAATACAAAATAAAATAAAAAGAGATGTAGGTTTAAAGTGGGGAGAAATGTTTAGAGGTGGTGGGTTTTTATAATGTATTACGCGTTGTAACCTTCCTCCTTATTCAAGGGAGGGCTCTCGGGGTTGTAAAGGTTCGAGAGCCGATCAGCGCAACATAACAGTCTGCCAAACCAAATAAAGTAGCACTTACTTGTTTTCCGTTGACCTTCAAATATCGATACGAGGTTGAAAAAGGACAAATGCAGGATTTAGTGCACGGAGCCGAACACTCTTCAACACTCGTATGGAGAACTCAAGTCGAACGGATGAAATTAAAAGTTAAATAAATTGCACGTATACACTCTTTCGTTAATCTTATGATCGGTGCATTGATGAAGTGACTTCCGTTTAAGAAATGCTTCATCAAATTTCACGAAGGCGTAACCATACTCCCGACTTCAACAGCTGATTGCGAACGAGGATTTTCAGATATGAACATGACAATAACTGATTTGAGGACTAGTTTAAACATCGAAAATGTGTCAGATTTGATATTCATCTCTACTAATGGCCCTTCAGTTGCAGATTTCAATCCACGACCTTATGTGAAGATTTGGTTGAAAGATCACCGTTCAGCAGTTACAGCTCTACGAGATAAGGAACGACAAGAATCAAACGATGAAAATAAGTTGCAGAAAATGTTTTTTACCAATGTATGTTCTTAATCTTTTTAATATTTGTAAAGATTGACGAAATAATATACGTAATATAAAGAGGATTTATAAAAAATCTGGTTTAAAATTTTTTCCATATTATTGACACGCTATTTATTGGCTTTACTCCTATAAAGCATAAGAAAAATATTTTTATTGTATTAAATATTTATATTTAATGATACGAGTATAGTATACCAGGGGTGACCAGCGAGAAGCAAGAAGAGACTCGCGAGCCACAAAATATATTAAGAAATATGGAAGAGCCAAAATGTAAAAAAAAAAAGGTCATAGTATGGCCGTGGTTTGGTCACCCCTGTAGTATACTCTTGAAAAAAATAATGAGAACACCTCTGTTTATCGCGTACATATTATGAAATGCATTATATTTTTATTTTATTTTATTTTTTTATTATATTTTTATATTATGTATGAACATTGTACTTTGTATTATACCTAGTAAATTATTTTTAATTTAATTTTTAAATTTTTAATGGTTATTTGATTATCCGCTACCCCTTCGGTCACAATTAGTACCATAACATGCTTAAAAATTAAAATATCGGAAAAAACCGACCAACAAAACACAGATAATATTCTTCCCAAAATGTTTGATTATAGGTCAAACTTACTCTAATATTAAAGCTAACTTCACTATATTTGAATCGCTGAACGCAAATTTGCTATGTTGTATGTACTCGTATGTCGGAGACAACACATGCGGATGTGACATCCTCTTAAAACCAATCCTTCCGGGACAATATAACGAAGCCAACATAAAATGAATGTCTTAAAAGCCCAATAAAAAAATGAAATTAACGTAGAAGACATCCAGTGCAAATCCAGTCGAGATTTATGCTCGAGATGTTTCTGAATCAGACGAACGTTCGAGCAAAAAATACTCAGAATTATGTAGAGAAGATTAAAAATATTTAAGTTTCTTTTACGGAGATTATAACAATATATAACATACCAACATCATTGATTACGGTGTCGCGTCAAATGGACGCGGTCAGTTCGGCGTAAGATAATTGAACACACACGACATTTCGGAAACTCGCAATTTCGACAAATGTCGATTCGACGAGTTTTATTATATTTATCCAACGACAACAAAGAAACAAAGATATTGAAAATATTAGATATTGGTAAAATATCGGCGAATATCTTGTGCTAGTGCAGTGGTTTCCAAACTTCTTGGCTCACCTCCATTTGGAGGTGCAAGGTAAATATTTATATTGCATGTTGTACTACCGTTCGATCGACAATAATTTACTTATACTAAAATATTAAAAAATGTTTTATTGGAAGGCGCAATAATTTAACGATAAATGTAATGTTCATCGCGTATTTTATAGATGTAACACCAGCACACAGCGGTTTCCGAGCTTTATTGATTCACGCATCCCCGAAACAAAAAAATAAAATGATCACGCCTCCCAATAAAACATTTTTTAATATTTTAGTTTTGGATTTGCACTGGATGTCTTCTAAGATAACATTTTTTGTTGGGCTTTTAAGACATTCACTTTATGTTGGCTTCGTTATATTGTCCCGGAAGGATTGGTTTTAAGAGGATTTCACATCCGCATGTGTTATCTTCGTCTGACATACGTACAACATAGCAAATTTGCGTTTTAATTTAGTGTAGATCATAGACCTATTATATAATGGACCGCGCATAACGATTGATTGTTATGTAAATCAATGAAGTAAACATCTGTGCGATAGAGACAGAGCTAGTATGGGAAATCCAAAGGCGTTATAAGCAGTTTTAGGTCTTTGGAATATATTATTATGTGATAGTATTTTAATTATTTTTATTAGTATTTAATTTATAATTTTTTCTAAATTCACAATTATAATTTGTTGTAAAACTGACAGAAAAACAATACAAATTCATATACTATTTAATGAATAAATAACCAACTATTTAATTTAAAATTATTTTTTAGTCTTATTAGTTAATAATATTCACTAATTCTCTATTCATTATTCAACAATCAGCACGGACTATCATAGTCAGTTATCAGTATTCATAAATATGATAACAGTATTCCAAGGAGTAAAGTACCTATAATCTCTATGGTTTTCCCATACTAGCTTTGTCTTTCTTGCACAGATGTTGACACGGGTCCTCTCTCTCTAAAAGCAGTCCATTATATATTAGGTTTATGGTGTAGATCCAAACCAACGCTAATTTTGGCGTTGGTCAGTATCTTGTTTAGGGAGCACTAAAAATTTCAATGTAATCTTTTCTTCTGCCATGTTTACTATCGGGTCTATTTTCATAAGTCTCAAGTTTTCGACTGTTCTCGCTAATTTATATAATAAATTCGGGTGTTCCAGGTATCTCATGATTGCCACAAATGGTGTCTTCAATAACTGGAAGTACGCTGCCATGTACGCTACGAGGTACCTGATGAAGCGTCTGACCGAAATACGTTTGTGAACCGTTGTAAGCATCTTGTAATCAAGTTTAAACCTAAAGAGAGAACTCAAACTTTAATTTAGATGTACGTAATACACGCATTATCGTACAGATAAAAAATTAATATTGTTAAAATCGAAAAAAAACGTCTTAATTGAAAACCACGCGAAACCAATGCGAAACTGGGTGTATTGTCTAGTCGTTGAACACCATTCGGTGATCGGACTATTTTTTTTTTTGATTTTTTTTTTTTTTAAACCACACTAATCCGTAGGATGATTTCGTTTTCGTTTGCCCAGCCGACTCGGAGTACCAGGCAATATGCACAATGGTGACACTGTGGACGGTAGACATACCTGATTCTCCGCTTCGACACGACTACCGGTGGTTGGACGAACTTGGGCGTTTGCGTGGCCACGGACACGCGGTTGTGGCTCCTCTTGAGCAGCAGTCGTTTGGTCCTGGCCAACTTCTTTTCCTCGCACTGTAGCGCCGCAGCCGCCTTGCGAAACTCGCACAACGCGTGCTGCGCGTTGGCCAACGACCGGACCAGCTGTTCTTTCCTGGCGTTCGCCAGCGGCAACCGCGAGCTCTCCAACCGGTTAATGATCACCTGGAATAGGACCTGACGAGGTAACCGCTTCGCCACGGCCGTGTGGAGTTGGCGGGTCAGGTTAAAGCGAGTGTTTCGTTTCGCCGGTTTGTCGGCCGCCGTCGTCCGCTGCTTCGCGAATCCCTTGGCCGCCAGTCCTTTACGCGCGCGGTCCGTGAACCGGCGGATCAACACCACCACGGTGCCGGTGGCCGTAAATGTCACCACGGCCGTAGCAGTGATCGCCATCCATATCCATATCGAGTTCATCGTGGTGGAAACGGCAAAACGACTGGTTAGGTTGAGTTAGGTTAGAATGGTGGAAAAACCACACCGAGTTCGCCACCTGTGTCGCGCGGGTTAGTTCCTTCAGTCCGGTATCCTCCTTAGTCCTTTGACTCACCGTCCGGTGTTTGTGTTCGAGATTCTACAAAAATGTCAGCACCTCGGACCGTTTGCCTTAATAGGTTTTGTTATGAAAAACAAACACGTAAAAACGCTCGTTTCCACAGTTTCCGGCACTTTTCATTCCATTTCGTTTCTTTATAATATGGTTTTAAAACGTTACGTACGGAATGCGAAACATCGCGCCAGTAAAGGTCGGTCGATTACCGATTATTCATCTTTCATAAGTAATCCGCCATCCGGTGGATCCAGTCGTCTTATATATTTATTATTTTAGTTTTTATTTTTTTTCCATGTTTATTCGATATTGCTAAAGAATAATAATATTTATTTACGAGCCTTTGATGTATTTTATATTTTTATCCACGCAAAATATTACTACGATATAATTTCACGCTAAAAATTAAATTTATTAATATACGTATACACAGGTGTACCAAAATAATAAGTTTGCAGATCTTACGGATTTTTGTCATTTATATTCTTATCCAGGGTCAGATTTGAGGGGAGGCATTTACCCTGTGTATGTACCTTAGGCCCTCAAAAGTTGTCATAAAAAATTAATTTTTAAAAAGTAAACAAAATTTAAAAACAAAAATGCTGACAATTTTTAAATATTTAATGAAATTATTTCATTTGTAATACGTATGTATTACTATGTATGTAATATACAGATTTCATAAATAATAATTATTTGTAACATACAATTCTGGGTCGTTTCCAATGTTTCTTGATATTTGAGGATAGCGGTATTACCGGTATTTTTACAATTATTTAAGAATATATATATATATATATATATATATATAACTATTTATTTGTACAACTATTTATTTTCAATGTGTCGCCGTCTAAATCCCTCGTGCAGCACTTTCTTTAAATTTAGTCGAGAAAGCTGCAACAAAGTGTTGTCCTGCGGCTATATCGGTTTTTGATTTCTTGGAAGCAATATATGTTTTTTTTACTTCCTCAACACACAATCGATCACTGTGGTAAATCAAATAGCAACCAACACATCAAAACAAATCGATATAAATTAACTTATAATGCACAGAAATCCCAAAGAGTAAGCGATTTTTTAAGTACAAAAGCTTTTAACAAAAATTAAAATCATTAACCACCGATGAAGGTGATTTTGCTTATCATATATTTAAACACAAAGTACGAGATCATCGTATAAGATCAATAGATCGGCATTTCAACTTATTTGGAAATTATTCAACATTAAGTTTTGTTGTTGCAAAACAAAAACAGCACAAATAAGAAAAAATTATTTTTATTCATATACCAATGAAATGTTAAAAAATTAATTGTCTAAATGTAATTTTATTACAGTTTAAACAAATGCGCCAAATCACTATTCTAAAAAAATGGTTCCTTAATGATTCGTTATTTTATTTCTAATTTAGGAGTTAAAACTAAAATACTCGAGTTTGACGTGTTGTCAGGTGAAAAATCAACATATTAAATATATTTTAAACGTTTTATCTTACTGGAACGTCATAAAAAAAGTAATAGCTTTTTTGACCGATAACACTAACACAAATGTTGGTGGTGTTACAAGAAGATAAATGAATGTTTTTTACAAGTTAAAAGAAGTAATCAACACGAATTTGATTGGTATTAGTTGTGTTGAACTTATCTTAAATAACTCAATAAAAACTGCTTCTGACACTGCCTATTAAAATTCAAGTGGTATTAGGTAAAATATTTCAAGATTTATATATATATTTATATATAATATACTGTCCGAGTCCATACACTTAAAGATTTTGTGATTTTATTATTTTACTTTTAATATAAAATAAAAATCAATATATTCATTCAAAAACTTGTTAGTTATTACTATATCCGGCGTTTACAAGATTTATCAAAATATTTGAGAGATTGAAGCCATATTTTTTATCTATTGAAAAATGTCCGGCCATGTTTAAAATTTTTTTTAAAAATTCATTGTCATTTCTTTTTACATTATTTCATCAAATCCAATGTGAAACTCTTTTTTTAATACAATTAAAAGTATTGAGACTGAAAATGTATTTATCACTGAAGTAAAACACCATATAGATACTTTGTTTTAAAAATGAAGTCGTGAAATATTAACAATTTTATGACCATTAAGGAAACTGAAACTCTATAAAATTTAAAATATGAATCAATTTTACCCCAAAATATGCATGATAACTTTCTGACATTTATTTTCTGACACATGTTCAGACTATATCACCGAGTGCACAAATCCATCACTAAGCAAATTCAATAGAATATCATGGATTACTTCAAAAAATATAAAAGAAGATATCTCTTGGAAAAACATTTCGAATACAATAAAATTAATAAAAACTATAATTCCTATTCTTACATTAAACGAGGCAGAATTATTTGACGAGTTAACTATTATTAAAACCATTTTACAGAAAAACCAAAAGGTAAAAATCTTTTAACGCGTTGGATGAAAAATGGGCATATATTTTTCAAACTGCAGATATTGATGGAGA